AACTCTGCCTAGTAATAACCTGGGATCGGAAGAGAGAAAGAAACACTATCAAGAGTGCCACAGTAATTCTTCGATTCTCCGGGCATTAGCAGATACGCTCTGTAAAGCACCATACTAGTGCAGATATATCTAGCAAGAATACTAATTACTAGCAAATGTGCCTGCTTAAACATGTACTGACTTCTGAAGCCTTTCACAGAAATAAATTTGGATTACAAAGGGAAAGTATCTTTAAAAAGCACTTTGCAAGAAGGCGAATAATAATAATAATAATAATAATAATAATAAAAAGGAACTGTAATAGTGCAAATGCCTTATGTGAAAATTAGGCTTCGCAGCTATAGTAGCAGTGCAAGGACATGTGTTAGATTTGGGCTTCATGATTACAATAGTAATGCAACATTCTTATATGAAAATTGAAAAAAAAAGTACTTATACTGGTGCGGCTTTGTATAGGGCTGCATATAGGTTGTGTGTTCATGGCCAGCTATGTGTGTTTGATAATCGATATAAAAAAAAAAAATAATAATAATAATTAGCAGCAATATAAGGAGTATAAGGACCCTATATAAAAGATTAGGCAGTTATATGGTAGGGAAATCCAGGCTTTGCAGTTGTAATAAAAATAGGCACTGAGACTACAATAGCAGTACAAGAACTTTATAGATAAAATTAGACTTCTCTGCTGTAGTAGTAGTGCAATGATTTTATAATAGAGGAAATTTAGAATTTGAAATTGTGTAGTGTAAGGACTTTATATGAAAATTTAGGCTTCACTACTGTAGCAGTAAAGGCTTTATATCAAAAAAAATTAAAAATTAAAAATTAAATTAGACTCTGTGACCGTAATAGCGGTGCAAAGACTTTATATTAGGGAAATTTAGACTTTGTGGTGCAACAATCTTATGATAAAGAAAATTTTAAGCTTCAAAGTAGCAGTGATCTTATGTGGAAATCAGACTCTGCAGCCGCAGCAGCAGTTGCAACAATCTTAATTTGTAGATGACCTTAAGTGAGGGTTAAAAGAAAAAGAAAAGTATTAACAAATGCACTTTGCAAAACTTCATTCTGACTCTCTAACCCTTACTAGTAATAGGCTGGGTTTAGAAGAAGAGAAAGTATCAGCAAATCACTTGCAGGAACTCTGTGTGTCATCCATTAAGTGGTCAAATGATCAAATTGGGTTCCTATTTAAAGAGAATAGCCTAGAGTCAAATTAGACCAGACCAAATCATACTTAACTAGTTTTTTAAAAAAAAAAAAAAAAATTGGATATAGAGAAACACCTAGAGACATTTGTGGGTCTTGAAGTACAGGCTTCCTTGTTTTTAAAAAAACAAGGGAGGATTCATATATATTATTAGGGCATTTAAATGCATTTGTTCAGCTATGTATACATATACTATTTACGATCATCTAAGTTAAAAAACTTTAATCCTGTTTATGTTTGTGCCAAAAAAAAAAAAAAAAAAAAAAAGAGGGGTAATGCTCAGGAACATATTACAGGCTATATAATTGAATTCTGACATTAGAAACTCCAGGTTCATATACATGCAAAAATAAGGCACAGAAACGTATATGTTTGTATAGATATATATAAATAGGACACAGACATGTATGTTTGTGTAAGATATACTGTAGGTAAAAAAAAAAAAAAAAAAAAAAAAAAAAAAGAAACACTTAGATACAGGTGGCTGGCCTTGGATTAATAAAATTATAAAGGCTACTGATGTTTGTACAAAAAAAAAAAAAAAAGTGATACTCAGAGACATGTTACACAAGTGGTATAACTGCTTCTTGACATTGAGCTTACAAGCACAGAAATGCATATGTCTGTATAGATGTATAAATAGAACACACGAACGTGCATGATTGTGTAGAAAAAAAAAAAAAAAATTGAACAAGTAAAGAAAGAGATACGTAAGAAAGGTTGCTGCCCTCAAGTAGGTAGATTTGCAATCGCTTCCTGACATTAGAAATGTGTATTTTCATGTATTAAAGGAAATATACAAACCAGATATGTATACCTTACACTTTACATAGCTTTATGACTGAACAAAATTAATGAATTTAGAAATGCTATTGATGTTTTTGCAAAAAAAAAAAAAAAAGGATACTCAGGGATATGTTGTAGGTCATGTAACTGCTCCCTAACATCAAGAACCTGTAGGTTTACATAAACGCAAAATATAGAGCATGGGCATATATATATCTGTATAACAGATGTCAGAAAATGAAATATACAACACATATGTTTGTGTAGAATGATAAGACACTCAGAGACAAAGTTGCTAGCTTCGGGTAAGTAGGCTTGCAACTGCTTCCTGATGTTAGAAATGCATATATTTTGATATTGAAGAAGATATACAAACACCGGTGTATGTATCATTCTCAAATTAGACAAATTAGAAGATCTAGAGTTGATGAGATTTGCAGGAGAGCACATGAGATAGTTGTCTTAAAGAGTAGTAGTATATAATGAAATTGTAAAAAAAAAAAAAAAAAAAAAGATTAAAAGTATAAAAAAGAAGAAATGCTTAAGAACAAGTTGCTGGCTTTAGGTAGATAAGCTTGCAACTGCATTCTGCTATTAAATATAGATTGTTCATATATAGTATCGAGAAAGGTATGTGTTAAAAAAAAAAAAAAAAAAAAAAAGCCTTCTTGATCCTCGACAACAATCCCATACTGTACTATATAGATGTAGTTTGTTAAATGAGCACTTGAAAGAACGTGACTTAGATATAAAGAATGGTTGGTCATTACTGTTATGTGCACATGACAAGCAATAATAATGATCCGCTTGTGAATGGAGTCACAAGGCGGTACATTATTGCGAGTCACTGAACCTTCCATGTGACAAATGGGTCACAGGACTTGTTCATGACGAAATGGTATTTGAGTAACTTGATGATCTATTGTCGTTTGAATTTTCTGCTTGACATTATGTCCAGCTATCCCCCACCACTCCCAAAAAAAAAAAAAAAAAAAAAAAACAGAAGACAAAATAACGATGCTCGAAAAATTCTGATCACGTGACCTTCTGCAGCTTGTTCGGCGACTCTATCCCATACTGTACTATGTAGATGTAGTTTGTTAAATGAGCACTTGAAAGGACGTGACTTAGATATAAAGAATGGTTGGTCACGACTGTTATGTGCGAGGAGGGGCACATGACGAGCAATAATAATAAAGACTATCGAAAGATCGACATTTTATACAATTTTGTGCAACAAATACAATTTACAAATAGACTAACGAAAGATCGTAGGGTTAGTGTTAGGGTTAGGTAATAGTTAGTTTAGGCCAAGTTGACGAAAAATAAAGACTATCGAAAGATCGTTAGGGTTAGGTAATAGTTAGTTTAGACCAAGTTGACAAAAAATAAAGACTATCGAAAGATCGTAGGGTTAGTGTTAGGGTTAGGTAATAGTTAGTTTAGGCCAAGTTGACAAAAAATAAAGACTATCGAAAGATCGCAAATTTAATACAATTTTGTGCAATTTACAAATAGACTAACGAAAGATCGACATTTTATGCAAATTTAATACCCGACAAGTTGTACGATACAATTTACAAGTTGACAAAAATAAAGACTTTTATACAATTTTGTGCAACTATCCTATGACAACAAGTTGTACAAAAAAAAGGCTATCGAATCAATACTGCAATAAGAAAAGCGTTCAAAACAAATTGTATTTAAACAGCTGTAACGAGACGTATTTTTTTTTTTTAAAAAAACTCCTTTATCATCTTTTTTATGCAATATTATAGTATTTTATACCATTTATCATACTATTTTAGTTATTTTCATGGTAATAACCAATTGTTTCGATCTCTCAACGCTCACTTTAGTTGCAAAACCAACCTTGTAACGAATTTAAGTAAATCAATTTGGTTCAATAAACCTAAAACGTTTACTATAACTCCATGGTTCTTTGGTTGTTGATTTATTATAAAAAATATAGATCTAGAGAAGTTTCTCATACATTCAATCATTCATCTAAAGAAACCAACCATGTGTTTATCTAAAGTGAGAAAAACTGTAAGGTGCGTGTCATTATAAATGTATTTATAACAACCTTTTTACATAGATACGAAGAGTGGTGATATGAAATCAGTTTAACAGCCGCAGTATATAAAGTACACTATCGACTATATAATGCGTTCAAAATAAAATTTACGGTCGTTATAGATACCATCTACCACATCTACCATCACATTTTCTATATACTTATAGTTTAATTGTAAAGTCAATTACGTGCTGCGGAACTTTGGCCGCCCTTGCTCATTGATCAATTTTAATCACATGATTAACGAAGTTGTGAGAATTTCGGAGGAACATTTAACCAAAAGGGATGACGTTAACCATATAATCAACTTTGAACAGCCATATTCATTATAAACAGTTTATTTAGTCGTCTTATTAGTTATATCCTTAATAAATAACCGAATATAAACGGAAATTTACTGGAAAAGTACATGCATTTGTTCGAAATAACGCTCAAGAGGTGTAGTTTAGATTTTCCAAACTAAGCTTAATTCAACCTAAATTAAGCGTAATTCGAGCTAAATTCTAAACTACACCCAGGGCGTTATTTCGAGCAAATACAGTAATTGTAGAGACGCGCCTCTCCGCGATTATCATATGGCTCGCGTGAAAATGTGAGATGACAAATATTCATTTCGCGCGAGGATGATGCCAGCATCTCTCTCTCAGGTAATTGACTTAGATCGGTTGCGTAAGCAGCCAATCAAGTCAGTTATACTTATCAATAAATTTCTGCTTATACCCGATCACCCAGGATTTTAAACAAGCCTTGAATAAGCTATATTAATATATGTATATTTATTTTAAACAAACTACTATATAGCTTTTTCTTTAGAAGGTCCGGGAGTCATAAGTCAAACCAAACCGCTAGCCAAGAAAACTTATTGTCGAAAAAAACAAGTAAACATTTATGTCATAAATTTATACATTCACATGGTGCATTAACATTATGAATTATTTTATAATAGTATTAGAACTGACAGAATTTATTGAAGAAAAGTTGAAAGAACTTAATGTAAAAAGGTTCGATTATTTACAATTTAGCGATCTTGAACTTATTGGAGCTGGAGGATCGGCGAATGTGTATTCTGCTAAGTTCTATGGGCAACAATACGCACTGAAAAGTCTGAGAAATACTTTGAGAATGGAACATAGAGAAGCCATGTCATTCATTCGTGAGGTAAACTTTTAAGAATATTTGTTTGACAATTTTAAGTGATGTGTCTATGATATGTCAATCTTTCGATTTGATTGGTTACTTATCGTTATGACCAGATTCGTGAATATTATCATGTACGCACGTACTATGGGGAAAAATTTCACGTTATTACTGCAGATTTTTATAATGAAATTCTTCCGATAGCAAGTACTGTATGTAATGGTTAATGGTATTTATCAATATAGAGTGAGACTTCTATAAATGCTCCCCATAGGGACAAACTTCTAACAATGTGCATTTTCGAGTGCAGTAAGAAAGAAATGCATTTGTGGGAGTCAAGTGTATGTTTGGACTAAATTGAGTGTCCTTTTAGAGTAGTAGTGCATTTAAAAAGGTGTGCATTTAGAGAGGTCTCTCTCTGTATATAAGTTCAAATAAAAAAAGGACATTATAGATCTCGGCACTTTTGACATTTTGTTCATCACTGTGAAGCAACGCCAATTAATCGGAGTATCAATTTTTTAAAAATACGTTCGTATTTGAAATTTAACCCGACTTTCAGTACAAATCGGAATTTATATGAAAAAATTAATGATTGTTCAGGCACTAATGTGTCTGCAAAGGGCATTTAGGCCCGGTTAACAGTTCTGGCATTGATATATACATCGAGTTTAAGTTAACTATTGAAACTTGTCTGTTGCGCAATATGACAATGCAATACGTGACATTTAAAAAATCTCATTATATATATATTAATAATAATAACATAGAAATCTAATGAATTTTATTAACATGTAGCTTAAAATTTTACAAGTTAGTCATCCCAATATTATTAAATTCTATGGAGTTTCAAAAGGTATGAAGAAGTATGTCCCAAAATTAAATACGTAACATTAAATAATAATCATATTGTATTAGATCCACAAACGGATAATTTCATGCTTATTGCAACTGGCTAATGGAGGAGACTTACGTCATTATTTGCAATTAAAGTGGAAAGGTGGTAAATTTGAGATTTTTTGGGCTAATCTTATTAACATCGCAATTGAAATTACTTGCGGACTAAGTTTCTTGCACGAAAAAAAAGTATGCCACAGAGATCTGGTATGTAATCGTTATGTAAGAATTTCAAGTTCTTTATTTAGATATACTAAGTTACTTCATAAAACTTTTCTAGCACCCTAATAATATTCTAATAAATGATGGTAAAATTTTAATCTCGGATTTTGAAATTTCAAAAAAAATGGACAGTACAACATCAACTTCGAGTTTAAAGGGCTTACCAGCATATATTGAACCAAGATACTATCTCTATCCTAACGAAAAGATTAAACGTGACGAAAAATCCGACATTTATAGTTTAGGTGTAGTGTTCTGGGAGCTTACAAGTGGAACCTCTCCATTCCAGGATTCACCAAAGCATGCTATAATAATAAAAATTTCACAAGGAGAAAGAGAAAAAATGATATCTGGGACACCCATGGATTATGCTAAACTCTACATGAATTGTTGGGATTCTGAACCTGAAAACCGTCCGATGCTAGATGAAATTTTAACTGAACTTAAAAGATTATCTAAAGAGATAAAGATTTTATCAGTCATAAAACATTAGTAATTCAGTTAACGCAAATTAATATTATTACGTAAATAAGTGATTACATGTTATCTGTTATGTTTTGTATTAAGCTTAATCATTGTTTATAGATAAGATAATTTAAAAAAAAAAAAAATTAGAATAAGAATTTATATGAACAAGAGTTTTATCCAGAAATTGAAGAATCGCTATTAAATTGGTTACAAGAATTCTTCATTCTTAAGATGTAGGTGATTATATTATTATTTTAGACTTTGTGAGTACATAATAGAATGGAAAGATTAATAAAATAGGGTTTACCAACTAACGCCAAATCGACTACAATCACAAAGTTAGCCCACAGACGGGGACACGGAATTTTTATGATAAAAAAAATTTTTGTAAATTATGTTGCGATATATAAATATATGAGAATATTATTAACTATAACCGGTGGTGACCATCACCAGGGTGCTTATATAAAAAAAAATCCTAAATCTGCACCTTAACCCTAAAAATATCTAGAGGTGGTGACAATCACCACCAGTTATTTGTAGTAAAACTCAATATAGAATGAATATTCGGTTTATTTTGCTGATTTAAAAAAAGAATTAATGATTATATTCACATAAAATTTAGGTATCGGGTCACAATCCGGGTATTTCAAATAACTCGAATAGCCCGGATGACTCGTTGTATTGATTTTTTTGATTTTTAAAATTTTTAGTGATCTTGATCAACCTGGAATTTAGGGATTTTCCTATATGAGTTGGTTATTTGCTAGTGAGTAATTCATACTGTATCCGTTGGGTTCCGGAGCGCCGCTTTATTTGGAACAATGTAGTTGTCGTATGACTAATATCAAATTATAATATTTATAATTTGTCGGTATGGTTTCTTTTTTACAAAGGCGCTATACTAACAAAGTTACATTATAAAACCATCTGTTTCCATTGAAGAAACCAATACGTACTACTTTGTTTCCATTGAAGAAACCAATACGTACTACTTTGTTTACAGAAAACGATATGTTAGTTAGCATATGAGCGAAAAAGTTGAATTTAAAACATGTCATAGTACATATTACCATGCATAATAAATCATGATTAGATAGAAGGTATAATTTTGTAGCTATAACGATAATAAAATTACCCGGTTAACCGGGTAATTTATTAGAAATTTTCTTGACGGGTACGGTCTTTAAACAGATTGACAGGGACAGTAAATACTTCCATTCCATTTTATTCTGATATCACTATTGGACGCTGAATACATATAAAATGGAGTTTTTTCCGATTAATGTTAATAGAATTTTTTATTTGTTGGTCAATTAACATATGATTAGGTATGATTCCAAGAATAAACTATTAATAGTGATATCGGAATAAAATAGAATGGAGTATTTACTGTCCCTAATGATTGATTGAATGATATCAGCAATTTGGAATTTATGTCCGCCTTATCCTACTCTCCGAACCCACCTGGAATTTTTTTCTTGCCTAGTGTCTGGACTTATGTTCCTCCGCCCAGTTCCGTAAATTATTACAAGTATTTAATGATATGTCAATGCTATTAATATCCAGGAAAAACTATTTTAATCAGACCTATGCTAACTTGCCCACCTTAGTTTAAATAAAACGCGTATCAAGAATTCGTTATTGTCTATCATCCACCAATATTAGTTGCCAATAGGAAATGAAACTTTATCGGACATACGCGTGTTACTGGTAAAAGGGTAAGAGAATTAAAAGGTGAATGTCTTTTCTACGCATGTACGACTTTCTCTAATAAATTATGTCATTTATTCAGACATTATTTTTATGTTAGGTTTACCGCATTGTCTTTTCTGAATTTCACTCAAGCATCATTGTCATGTCGTAATGTCTTTCGTGATATCCGGTCTTTATCAATTATTTCAGTAAGTTTAAATACCTATCTGCTATGATATAAATTTTTTTTTTTTTTTACGGGACAATCCCCAAAATTTTAAAACATCCAAAAACAAGTCTTTTTATTTTAGAATAATCCAAAAACAAACTCATAGCTATAAGAAATAACCTTGACTGAACAGTAAAAAAAAATTAAGATCTTTCACTACGAACTTTGATGATCAATGATTTCCTATTCACAAAACCAGTAAATATCTTAATTCTAAAAATTGCTTTAAACAATAAACACTAGCAGAATTTTATCCTATGTTATTCTATGCTATTTGCAGCATTACAGTATTTTAACAATTACTGTAACAGCTTTATAATATTTAGATACAACAGTATTAAAAAAATTAACCTTGCATACACAAAAAATTAGGCTACACATGTTCGTTACAATAATTTAAAGCTACTATATTCGGACCGATAGTCTTTTTGGTCTGTCCGGCTCATAAAAGACCAGATTGGCCCGGTTCTAAGGAGGACCACAGGACCAGTGGTTTTAATCGGAACTGATTAATAGCCCTAATTTCATTATGTTTTTTCATATATATTTCTTAATTTAGACATCTCAACATTATTTAGACATTTCGACATTATTTAGACATTTCGGCATAATTTAGGATTTTGGCAACATTTAGACATTTCGGCAGACTAAATATCAAATGTCGAAATATTTCTACAGTCGTCCCTCCATATAGTCACCTCCCATATAATCATATCATATGTAATCACATTTTTATTTAGGCCAAACTATAATTTAATTTATAAGAAAAAAACCTCCATATAAGCACAACCTTTCTCTAAGCACATTTTTTAAAAAAGTTACTATGTGCCCAACTGTGTGATTATATGGGAGGATGACTGTACGAGTATAAAACAATTTCAGCTAACAACATTAGTCCGGAAGAAGTGACGAATTATGGAAGTGATGAATATATAATTGATATATCGATGTATTTTATTCGTCACATAATTATTTGTCACTTCCCGGACAAATTAAAGGGATCACCTATACTATATTTGATCCGAATTTGCTATCTTATAATGCAAATCTCCATATCTCGAATTTTTGTCAGGTTACTTGTCATAGGAGAAAATGGTTGGTCAGAGAAATAGTTGTATTGGAATTTGTGTCAAGAAAATAGTCATGTTTTTCAGAATTTTGGAAAAATAACTCCGTGAACTTCGGAGAAATTTAATAAATGAATTGTAACGATGTACGACAAGTTGTGACTGTCATTCTGGCAAACCATATGTACTATTAATCAGAATACAGTATCACCATCTGTTGGGAGAGCTCTGCACCTTCATGAGCCATTTTAACTCTGGTGGTAAAATAGTGTTTGAAATAAACTGGAATGATTTCTCTCTCTTCAATTATTCATTCACTCTTTATATATATGCTATTATGTAATAGCTGCGTGTCACACCAATTTTGGACGACCATATGAGTGTAGATCGTTTTATACGAGCCCTCAAAAATTATTTGTATAAAATACATGCAACGATTATTCTAGACGACGATTGATGACTAGAATAATCCGTTGGAACATTCTTTTGATCGCATGTATTCCACAAATAATTTGCATGTGGGTTATACAATACAAAATGATTTATTTCTTTCTGCGTTACTCGTACAGTATATTAGGGTTTGGGCACGGAAAATCACCATATGTGATACGGGAGCGTTGTGCTAAATCATCGCATGAAAATAATTAGC